TCTCTCTCTCTCTCTCTCTCTCTCTCTCTCTCTCTCTCTCTCTCTCTGTATGTGTAGGACTTTCAGGTCTAAATGTAAGATTTCCAGGTCTGGGTTTGAATTTAAGATTAAAAGAATACCACTGTCCCAGGACACATCCCAGGAGGGGCACATTCCTTAGTCAGAGGACACTTGCTGGATTAACATTCAGAAGAGGAAGGGAGAGGCTGATTAACATTCCTCAGACCAAGTGGGAGAGAACCCACCTGCAGGTGAGGAAGGCCCAGAGCACTCAGACAGACAAGGGAGGTCCCTGCCACCTCAAAGACCAATCAGTTTAAAAGTCACACTATTCTGCCAATCATATTGTGCCTAGTCACTGTTTCTCTATTCTACCTCTTAAACTGTATAAAAACTATTCTTAGCTCCAACTCAGGGTTCTCTTCTTGCTTGCATTCAAGAGAACCCCAGTATACTGGAATCATAAACCTCATGTTAATTGCAGCGAGTCCTGTCAGTGAGTATCTGTGGGAGCACATCCCCTGGTTTTGGATTTTAGAATCCAACATGTGCACACCCCTTTTTCTTTCTCTCTCCCTCTCCTATACCCCTTTCCCCATAACGATTTCCCTTGCCTCAATCTTTGGGGTCAGTGAACTTGCCCACCTGACAGTGGCTTCCCAAATAAACCTGCCTTTAATATAATCCAATCTGGCTTGAATTGGCTCATTTCACCAGTGGTGGAAAAATAACCTCAGCAATAAGTTAGCTGTATGTAGACAAATAAGACATGATTTTACTAATTAGTGGAATCTTAATAAAGAAGAGAATAGAGCCTTCAGTGTCTGGTTTGCAGTCTACAGCGCTCAGAAACCACCTCCATTTATGAGCCTTGCTTGTAGCTGGTTACTAACATAATTTTTGATGTGTTTTAATAAATCCAGGGGTATTTTGGTAGAATGAGATATGGTATGGTGAGAGGGGGAACCTCATTGGGCCCATACTGAGGCACTCCCAACCAGGTACCAGCCATATGACAAGTCTAGTACAGAATAGAGTTTATTTGGGTGTATGGGAAGAAAAGTTGAGAAGGAAGTAGAGGTAGAGAAAGAGAAGGGAAAGAGGACAGAGGGAGAGAGAAAGAGAAGAGGCCAGCCAGAAATTCATTGAGAGTGAGAGGGGAAGGAGAGAAAGGGAGAAAGGGGTCAGAGAAAGAAGAGAGTCAAAAAGTCAGAAAGGGCAAATGGAGGCCAAACAGTCCCTTTTATAACAAGCCAGGCCTACCTGGCTGTTGCTAGGTAACTGTTGGGCAGAGATTTGAAGAAATGTTAATGTGCTAACAATCACATCCATCACAAAAGTCCAATACTCCTCTGGTTCATACATTCTCTCCACTCTTTCCAAAATGTTCTTGTACTGTCTTTAGATGCTGAATCTCAAGCCCAAGTGGGCCCTTTAGCTGGTTCATAGCTTCAAATGTGGGTGGAGGAGGATGGCTCTGAGGGAACTAGAAACTAGTTCAAGAAACGAGTTGGGCTTTTATGCTGACTCTTTGGTGGTTTTTTTTTTTTTTGGTGTTTGTTTTGTTTTGTTCTGTTTTGTTTTCCATTGTTCATATTGTTGGTTCACATCTTTCTTTTGAAAAGTTAAACCCTGATTGATGACTGATAGGATAACTTCTGAATCAAGCAAAGGTAGTAATTATGGAAGAAAGAAGCTGTATTTCAAGGGCCAAGACTCTGCACACTTTTCTGACAGAGTGACACTGACAACTGAAGTCTTTGCCATGCTTCATTGAAGCTGAGAACCACAGGATTCCTAAACTACAAATACAAACTTGGAAGTGTTACCCTGGCAGGCCTAACCCAGTACTCAAATTCAGCAAGCCTCCCAGTGAGGAGAATTGGCAGCCCTTTAGTTTATTCTTTTGTACTACATGATTCTGTTGCAATAACTTCTTATCTCAATAAGCCTGTATAAAAAACACACCACCCAGTTATTATATTTATAAGTAATATGCCTAGATTGGGCAGATCTACCACTATGCTAATTTACTCCACAGCTATGAGACCCCTTGCTACTTGTGGCTTCTCCAGGCCACGGGGTTCTGTTCCATCTTCCTTCAACTTCCTATTCCTCCATTCTTTGCTCTCATCTCCTCCTTCACTGAGACCTCACATCCAACCTTTTCCTTTCACTACCCAATCATTGGCTCTAGCCTTTATTTGATCATTCAGAATGAGGAGAATGTTTAGTGAGATCTCCTGAGTACATTGGAGGCAGGCAGCCTCTCTTGAGGAAGCTGAATTAACATCAAAATACAAACAGTACTAGGGCAAACCCCCAACAAGATTCCTCTAAAAGGCAACATTTCATTCTCTTTACTGGGCAATGGAGGTTCTGAGAGGCTTTGAGCCTCAGATTCTCAACTCCTCTGAAACCAGAAAGATTGGGAACAAGACTACCAGCAGACAGCCCACAAATGCAAG